ACTCAGAAGAATTAAAAGCAGGGTCTTGAACAGGTATTGTGTACCCATGTTCACAGCAGTGTTATTCACAAGAGCCAAAAGGTGGTGAGGCAGAAAGCCCCATAATAAGACCGGCAGGATCCCCAAACAGGGGCCACTACTCTCCTACCAGCACCATCCGGTTCCCTGGCCCAGAGACTCTATCTCACTCTTTGCCTCTGAAACAGCTTACTTACACCTAAAATTCTACTGGTTCCCTGAGCTCGCTCCTGATTGGTTATTTCCTTCACTCCTGATTGGTTCATTTCCCTAGCTTCTGATTGGTCCATTTGTAGTACTTCATTTGCATGGAGCTCACTCCTGATTGGTTATTTCTCTCCTTCTTGATTGGTCCATTTCTACAAAGCTTGTTCTTAATTAGTCAGCTTTCCTTATACCTAATTTGCATATGATGTTGCAAAGTGTAAACTGGCAGCTGATAAAAGCCTGTGTAAACCTACAGACGGGGTCCAGACCTTGGAGTGTTAACTGCTCTGAGTCTGCTGGCAAAATAAACCTGAGTTCTCCAACTTTCCGAGTGCTGCTTGGTCTCTCACGTGGATCTAGGTTGCTGTCACAACTGAGCTGTAACACATTTTTCTGCAACAGTGGGAGCAACCCAGGTGTCCATCAGTGAATGAATGGATAAACAAAACTGGTGTATACACACAATGGAATATTATTCAGCCCTAAAAAGGTAGGACATTCTGACACACGCTACAACATGGATGAAACTTGAAGGCATCATGCTAAGTAAAATACACCAGACACAAAAGGAAAAATACTGTATGATTTCCACTTTTATGAGATTCCCAGAGTAGTCAAATTCATCGAGACAGAAAGCAGAACAATTGTTGTCAAGGCCTGGGGGTAGTAGGGAATAGGAAGTTTTTGTATAATAGGTGCAGAGTTTCAGATTTGCAAGATGAAAAAGATTTGCAGGTGGATGGTGGGGATGATCGCACAACATTGATGCATTTAACGACACTGAACTATACACTTAAAAATGGTTAAAATGGTAAGTTTAATGGTACATATGCTTTACCACAATTTAAAATAAAATCTCCAATGGCTTGTCACCTCACTCAGGATAAAGCTCAAAGCCTTCCTGATTTGCACCCACCCCACCCAAGCTGTCTGATCTCAACTCCTACCACTTTCTGCCTCACTCACATTCCTCTAGCTCATCCGCCTAATTTCTGCTCCTCAGACCCACATGACAAGTGGTCCTCGTACCTTCCACTGGCCACAAAGCCCAGTCCATAGCTGGCCTGTGTGTGCTCAACCATCTTGGGGTTCCCGGTAGTGCCACTTGTGAAGTAGATGGCCAGTGGGTCTTGACTCTTGGTCCTCGAGCAGCTGTGTTCTGTGGATGCCTCCCTGTAAAATATAAAAATTCAAGGGGCATACTGCTAGTAGGGAAAATAGTCATAATTACAAAAATATGCGTAACAACAAGCCGGCTACCATTTTAATAAATACTCCGTGTTAGGCACGTGCTGGAAGCTCCAGCCCTCATTCTCTCTGATCCCTACAGGAACCACCTCGTGGGGTGGGTACTATCATTATAACCTTTTGCAGATGAGAAAATTGAGGCTCAAAATGATCAAGTGACTCAGTCAAAAGAGCCTGTGCTGTTATCAGGGTGTGAGGACTTTCTGGTGGAACACACCTACGTGAGGCACGGTTCCCACCCCCACCTCAGCTCCTAGTAATTTAGAGCTGTGTTCTAAAGTGTTCCCTAAATTTGGAGTTTTGAGATCTGGGTCATTCCAAAGGTTCTGTGACCTGGAGAGTCTTCGAACTCACTGTTTCTCAACCCTGGCTGCATCTTAGGACCACCTGGTAAGTGTTTAAAAGAAATATTCTTACCTGGGCCCCACCCTGGAGGGAAAGCGAAATCAGAATCTTTGACGATTGTTATTATTTATTTTTTTTAGAAAGCTCCTCAAGTAATGCTAATGATGGCCAAAATTGACAGCACTGATCTGGACCAACCTGGCAGCTCATCAAAATCACCTGGGCAGATGTTTGAAAATGCAGATTCCCAGAGCCCTTGCTCAGATATGTCTGGTTAAGTGGGGCCTTGGAGTCTGTATTTAAAACTGCACCCCAACATAAATAAATAAATAAATAGCTAGGTAAATAAATAAGTAATTTCCCATAATTTTATGGTAGAAAGCTTATATTCTAGTGTAGGAAAGAACAATCTAAAAGGTATTTACCATGTCCTCAAACTTTAAAATATATCTTTCATGCTTAATTTTATTTCTTACATGTGTTGACTATTTTCTGTTCAAGTTTCAGCTGCTCGCCATTATATTGGAATATAATGAAAATATAGTACAGAGAAGTACCATAAGTTGGAAATATAATATTTTAGAAAATATAGGACACATTATTTATAATCCATGCTTGTGGGTCTTATAATCCTGATAATTATAGCACATGTAAATGTACGTGACACAAAGTTCTGTTTTAAATAAAGCTAGGGACAGGAGACAAGTGTTGATATTAGTCAAAAAATAAAATAAATTTAAAATAGCACCCAGGTGAATCTGATGCAGCTGATCTATGGGGACAGGCATTTGTGACTTAACAGTGTGGACACCTATGAGGGCTGCTTTTTGGTTCTGGCTTCCAATCAAGACAAAGTCTCAAATGCCCAGATAGGTTTCCAGCAGACCTTGCTCAAAGGCAAATGCCCCAACACTGACTTCACTACTTATTAGCATCTTGAACAAGTCACTTTGCTTTTCCAAGTCTCAGTGTCCTCATTTGTAAAATTAGGGTAAAGTGTACTTCATAGGGTTTTTTCCAAGAATTAAATAAAACAATGTCTGATTATTGTGTTCTGAGCATCAAACACCATGCTTGTCATAAAATAGATGTTCACTAAATCTTTGTTGCATGAATGAATGTAGGTGAATGCCTACCTAGCACACCTGGCATACACTGAGCACTCACTACATGGCAGTGACGATTAGATTATTAATTGACCACCTACTATGCACTAAATGCCTCATATGGATCATTTATTTGGCTGGTAACTCTGTAATTATTATCACCATTATAGAGGTAAATGCACAAAAAAGCTAGTGACAAGTCTAGTACTGACTGAGTGATGCTGAAGGATCTTACAGTAATCGCCAGGATTAGGCCCTAGGTCTGTCTGGCTTCCAAAGTGTGCATTCCTTCCTGATTGATTCACCCTCTGTGTGTGCAATCAGCAGTGCATTCTTGCTGCTTAAAGGGGAAATGTCTTGGCCTCGTTTTTATGCTGTCCTCTGGAGAGCCCCCCAACTTACCGTAGGAGTTCCCGGAAGTTCACCCAGCCTGGCCGACTGCTGTCCGACACGAGCAGCTTGGTCTGGAGAGAGGGGCAGTCCGCACTGATGGCATCCACCTGTGGAGCCGTGGAGTCATTGGTGATGATGCACTTGGCCTTGGATGCCTGCAGCCGGAATCTGAGGTCCTTCTCTGTCAGCTGAGAGATGCCAGGAATCATGACAGCCCCTGAATACCACACAGAGAAGGGATGTTGACTGGGCAACAAGGGAAGACCCCTGTGAACAAGTCCAGATCACATATTCCCATCACAGATAGGAGCAGAAAGGGGCTGGAGAGAGTTGGAATGCCTGAACTAGAAAAGATATTATTCATGATAATATTGAAATCCAGAAAGTACTTATAGAGTGCTTATATATGCTAAGAACTTTACATGTATTATTTCATTTAATTCTTACAACCCTGGAAAGTAGATACTATTACATCCATTATGCAGATCAGAAAAACTAAGACTTAAACCTTTATGCCCTTAGATAACTATAACTTGCCCAAGATCACATACCTAATATGCTGCAGAGCTGGAGTTGTGAACCCAGACAGTGGTGAACTTGAGCCCATGATCTTGAACGTTGCATTATATTGCCCTAGAGCTTACCTAGTTCAATGGTTTTTCATGCTTTTCAAACAAAAAGCTACAGTGAAACTCAGTGTTGCATGTGGATCGCTTGGGGCAAGGGGGGGGCGGGGTTGTAGGCGGAGCAGTGGAGGCTCCATGTTACTTCAACCAAAGCCACTCTGAGGGTAGCTGAGTTCATCTTCTCCCAAGAGGAAGGGATGAGGAAGCAGAAAGCAGGGCCAAAGTTTAATCAGACACTTGAAAAATCACTCAAGTGTCAGAATGCAGGCTTTAAACACTTCACACTCCATCGAGTCCAGCATTCTCATTTCACAGACAAGAGGAAAGAGATCTTAGAATTACAGTCATCCAGCCCCAGGCAGAGAGTGAGAACAGAAGACTGAGGAAGGGGCCGATCCAGAAGCGGGTGGGTGTCAAAGCAAAGTTCTCATCATCCTTCTATTTTCTACACTTATACAGGAAAAGCCCAGCACGGACACTCTGGGAGCTGAACAGTACGATTCTTCACGCCATCGCTCTGTGTTAGCTACTTCCAGCACAAGTCTGTCCACACGGCATTGTGTGCGGTGCTTTGGGGGCCCAGGCAGATGGTGGAGACCAGGAACTGTCAGCAAGAGAAACGAGCTGAACACTGTAGCCTGGAGGAAAAGTGATGCATGCATACGCGGAGAACATGGGAATGGGAGAATGTGAGGACGTCCAGCTGGAGTAGCCTCTAAAATGGAGAGGGTGCTAGACTGGAAGCAGCAGTGGCGAATGCGGTGTTGAGTTATTCAGTTGGGACAAAAAGAAATGCGTGAATCTATATAACTGGGGAAACTGGAGACATTTGGGTAAATAGAAAAAATAATTAGCGTAATACTCCAAAGGATGTTTTGATCACACAAAGTGCCTAACACAGTGCCTAGAGCATAGCAGGTCCTCAAGAAAAGGACAGGGGCTCCCTTAACTCAGCCCTGGCATTTAAATGGACCTTAAATGTCATCCCGTGTGGAGACGTTCTCAAACCAGTCAGTGTGCCTGTTTCTTTTCCTCAGAGCTGGATATACTGAAATGGTGCTCACTTTTATATAGCGTGCAAAAAATATGTAAGAAATTAAAATTTCTGCCTCCTTTTTTTTGTTGTTGGACAATCGATTCACAAAATGGTTGAATTAAGGTTGTTCATATAGAAAGGCTAATTTCCTGATGTGGGTTTTGTACCCCTCTGTTTTGCAAGTATTATTTGTGAAAACAAATTTCAGGTAGATTTACAAACACGATTGGAAGGGGGTGGACAGCACTGTAAGTAGTGGAACGCACTGAGAGGGGGCGGACAAACCAGCACTCCACTGAAAGCAGTTGTCTTGTTTTTATAAAATCAGCCTAAAATCTCCAGCCTTTTTAATAAGTGCATCGGACAGGGCCAGCAGGGGCTCTCCGGGCTCTGTGGCCGTGTCCTCTTGCTTCCCGTCCTCCTCTGCTGGAAGACACAGCCCAAGAAGATCAGTGATCTGCTGTCCTGGGCATTTATGACAGTGGGAAGAGGAATCTTTCAGGGCTGATCTTATTGCTTTGATTATTTTGTACTTCTTGCCCATTTCTTGGGAGCTAGGCGATGCTGTGACAGTGAGAGCCATGAAGTCTAAGGGTGAAACTAACCTAGATTGGTTACAAAGCTCTCTTATCTGTAACTGCATCGCTCTCCAGACACTGGCAGCTCCCAAACCACCATGCAAAAAAAAAAAACACAACATATATATATGTGTGTGTGTGTGTGTGTGTGTGTGTGTGTGTATGGTTTATTCCATTCAGAATTTAAAAAATATCAATTTAGTTGTCAACATGAAAATATTGGAAGACGGTTTTTTTTTTCCCCACAAAAATCCAGTTTATTACAAAATCAGATGTTCTGGAAACACTGGCCCTCATTCACCCAAGGAACCATTCGGTTGGAGTTGAGAAGCAGCTGTCCCTGACTGATGAGGCATGTGAGTTCCAGTTCACCGCAGTCCTCAGCACTCCCTGCTGTCTCACACTGGCCTGCTGTAATCAATTTCAGTGCTATCTGGCCCTGTACCCAATCAAGTTCGTGACTGTCGGGCAATGGGAAAATAAACAAAACTCCACATTGGGTTCAGTTTGCTCCATCTCCCGAACCCTGTGGATGCTGTCAAAGTTCTGGCAGGTCATGTCAGCCCCAACTGGGAGTCTCAGCCCTGCTCACTGACCTGTCCGCATACAAGCCACGCTGACCAGCCACCACTCCGGGAGCCGCGGAAGCACCAGCATCACTCTGTCTCCAGGCTGCAGGCCACACACGCCTCCCAGCACGTTAGCCGCCTTCCTGGACTGCTCCCCTAGCTCCTCAAAGCTCCACTTGACCTCTGCTCCCATGCCATCGACCCACCAGAATGCGGGGATTGGGGGCCGGTGTCCAGCCTAGACAGCATTGTAGGCGAAAGAGAGAGGTGGAAACCATCTGTTGGGGATTTTTGTTTGCTTGGTTTTTGAAAATTTAATTTTTACAGTAAATATTACATTCACAGGGTTCAAAAATCAAAGCAGTATGAAAAGATGTGCATTGAGAAGGCTTCTCCCATCCTTGTGCCAATCCACCTGCACCCCTACTTCACCTGCCTCAGTGAGTAACCAATGCTATTAGTTTCTTGCACATCCTTTTAGTGTTTCTTTAGACAAACTTACATATATTCTTTTTTCCACATCATCTTTTTAATGCCAAAGATAGCATTAGATGCACACTGTTCTGTGCCCTCCTCTTTTTAAATTGAGATATAATTCTCCTACCATAAAATTCACCATATTAAAGTGAACAATTCAACGGGTTTCAGAATATTCATAAAATTGTGTAATCATCATTACCATCTACCTCCGGAACATTTTCATTATCCTAAAAAGAAATATTCTGCAGATTAGTGGCCAC